TCCTTGGGTTTTGGGCCAGTGAGATAGTCACCTACTTTATTTTGGGGGCTCCTTCTTACAATTATAGTGTACTGGGCCCCCAAACCTTATTCTAATTACCCTAAACCCTAAACCCTAAACCCAAAACCCTATTCTAACTATTACGGCCCCTACATTGCCGAGGCCTCCCGTCGTTCCACGGTGGCCCATGAGGCGAGTGTGGAAGAGTCCTTTCCAGCTTTTAAGAGGGTTTAGGGTTTAGGGTTTAAGGGTTTAGGGGTTTAGGGTTTAGGATGTATTGCAAAGCCCCGGCTACTGGACCAATATACGTGGGTTCATTATTTCTTAAAAGAATGACCATGAATATTTTCACATATTTCCTCATGAACAGTGTGGAGAACTGAAAAAAGGATGACCAGGAAGAACTCGTTCATGAATCCATTGATTTCGGGTATGTGTAGTCCGGTAGGGCTTTGGGGGAACCTTGCAGCCCTTATACGATCGGTTTTCGAATTTTTGAGAAAGGATCTGAGGCCCAAGGCAAAGCATCCCACACCCTACAAACGGGTGCTGTGAAAGCTAAAGTCTTAGAGACAGGTTAAGACTATAGCTTTCAAGAATGGCTCTGATGCTCTTGTCTACCGACTCTTCTAGATACGATCTCGCATGCGAAGAGAGCTCTTTAGGAAACAAGGTGCCTTAGCTTAAGGTTTGTAGGGTCGCGGGATCTCCCTCAAACGGTGTGAACACTGCCAGGACGCTCTGGCTCAGCCATGCTTCTGTGGCATATCGGATATGCCACTTACACAAATATCGGCAAAACACATTCCATGCAACGCATGGAGTTCTCACGAGTTCGACCCTCCTGCTGGCGGCCCGCGCAGGTGGCGACGGACCTGCTCCAGCGTTTACTGCAGCAAGTCTTCGGCTCAGCACAGACGGGGCCTGAAGAATTAGCAGCAATAGTCGCTTTAGCTCCCCACCTCCAGAATATTATTGTCACATAATATGTGTTCTGATTGTTGGGGCCCCGTTTTAAGTGCGGTTTGAGATCAGACTTGACAATGGGGTTAC